GAATGAGTGAGTCAGTCTCAGTCTGCCATAGAGAAGCAGCAATTCAGGAAAGACCCACCTCCAGTTAGCAGAGGTCCACTCAGCTATCCATAGTGCTACACACGGCCTCCATCCTGTGCAGCGCAAGCTTTGTGCATGACCTTACAGAAGAGCAGCCAGGATAGGAACAGAGAAAATCTAATAAGACTACGTTCTTAAAAGACAGGAACATTCAGGGATGGGGAACACATTACTTCCATGCTGGTCCTTGGGGAAGTAATGCCAACAGTGCATCTATTGTGGGGCAGACCAGGGAGGCAGTCAAGGCTAGCTTGGTCGCAGCTATTGGACTGATTAGAAATAAAATGCCATTAAGGTATTGCCTTCATCTCCCCATAAAAGGAGGTGAGATGGCCTGTGTCCTCAGATGAGACCAGGACATCTTTAAGTTTAGCACAGTACTCTAGAAGCCCGGCCCTGCTGCAGTCTCAGCAGATTCCAAGGACCACAGCAGAACATGCAAGAGGGATATAGAGAAAGAAAACTGATCCAAACATCAGGAAGCCTTGCTTCTACATCAACGTGGCCATCTAGAAAACACATTTTTCTTGTGGGAGGCACTAATTCATGAGAATGTTGTGAGCACATAAAATGCCTCTAGCTATAGCCAACAAGTTTCAACTCACTGGGCATTTTCAAGAGCATTATCTTTTTAAAAGAGGACCGACTCAAACCCCTGTGCTGCCAGGGAAGTGCCATTCCACCATTCCACAGGCCACTGAAAGCTTCATGAAATCACATTAATACACATCAACAAAGGACCTGGCTCATCCATTTTGTGACATTCCTTCAGGTTCTTAAAAAGCTACAATGAGTACCAGTTAATACTTGGGGTGCTTTTATGGTTAAGTACAATTATTTCTGTGGGAGCACCACGGGATTCAGGCATGCGGAAACAGTTTCCTTCAGAAAAAAGACTCCTTTCTGCAATGTGTAACAGAAATCAAGTTGTACTGACATAAACTATGCAGTTTAACTTCAGTTCCTAAATGCACACCTGCAAAAAAGCGTATTATTTCTGAGTGTTGTTAACAGAAAGACCAAGTGAGAGCTACCTTAAGGAACATCTCATACTGAACTTCTCTGTGCTCTCCATGTCTTAAAACCACACCATTAAGTCTGCATCACAACAGGGCTGGCTCAAAATTCATTTCCTCAAAGTGGTTCCTGTCAGTATGCTTGTTTGCCTTGCCTTTGGGAAGACAAGTATAAACGTCTCTTGAGCAGGACTTCAAGAAAGAGCAGCTGGACTGCTGAAATGTTCAGAGCTATCACCTCCTGTTGCCTTTGAGATCAGTGCTTAAACCCAAGTCAGATTTCATAGCTGTTGAGGATGATGTACCCGTTGGTGCTGAGGCTCTTTGAATGGAAAAGTAGTTTTCTTTTTCCTTTTCTACTAAAAAAAAATCATCCTAGAGAGAAGATAACTCTCCTACAGTTCTCTTCTTCCACCCTACCAAAAAGATGTCTCACAATCCTGCACTAACATGCTATTAATACTATGATATCAATATCCAAATGCATTTATAAACCTCTAAATGTGGATCTTTATAGGGGAGATGGCTGTTAGCTAACAATGGCCTTGGCTTCAGGATTTAAAGTCTGCTCCTAGACTGCTTGATGACTCAAGGAAGCATTCTTTTCCTTTTTCTGCCTACATTCACTGCTGGAATTGTGAAATAGTGCCACTGATGTGCCCATCTAGATAACAAGGTCTTCTTTGTCCTCATAGAATAATGGCTATCTGAGGAGCATACACTGAGCTACACTGCAAGGAGGAATGTGGGTCAAGTCCTGACCCAGAGCTGTACTGTTTATTTCTCTGTGATCATGGCCAGCAGCCAAGAGCAGCTTATCAGAGCCCTGTGCTGATGCTTACTTGTTGCTCAGTGACAGTACACTTCAACAACACCAGCACTCGATCTCTGCCTCTCCCTGTAACACCTGGCCAGTTAGCAGGTGTTGATTTGCATCATCCCTAATCCATGCAGGACAAATGTCTGCAATCTTTTTGATGATATCCATATCAAAACACCAAGGGAAAGATGCTTCCTTCAAAGCCTTTGCTGCTTCATCCATGTAATTACCCTATCCTGTCTGATCTGCCTGCCATTCTCATTTTTCTCCACTTTTTTCCCATGCTGCCACCAGGATGACTTGTTTTATTAATTGAAAAGCTCTTCCAGTGAAACTGGGCAGAAACTAAGGCTCCCCATTTAGGAGTTGAATCCACTATGATGTTATTTTACCTAAGCCTGGACTTTCATGGCAGCCCAGAAGGATGGAAGGAGGCAGACAAAGCAGAGCAACTCACTGACACCAGCTCCCACTCTTCTTCCTGCAAATGCATACACTGGGTCTCTGGTCATCCAGTCACCCATGCCAGCACAATGTAACTCTGACTTAATGATGCATACTTCAATTACTTGATTCCTTTCAGAGTTTTTGATAAGTTCATTATTATCCAAGATTTAGTGCTCTGTGTCTTAAGAGTGCTGAGACTCACTACCTTCCACATTATTGTCTGTGAGAGAGCGAGTGGTACCTGTAAAGGTCATCTATAGGAAATGAACTGCAAGCAGAGGACTTGTACAACCTGCCTAATTCTGAGTTGTTCATCTGTCACAGGAGCAGTCATTACAGGCAAGTCTGCAAGTACTTTAAGCTGTCCAGTTTAAATCCACAAAAACGTGACATTTCTCTTTGGTGAGAGTTTGAGTGTTGATCCTTTGACTTCCTATCTGAAACATGTTGCTCATGACCTGCGGGAAGGTCAAGGAAAAATGATTTCCAACAGAAGAGTGCTTTTGTGGAGTTGAAGAAATGTGCAGTGCTTGCAGAAGACAGGACTGAAAATTCAGTCTGGAGTGTTGATCAGAGCTACAGATCTCTGCAGAAAGAAGCAGTGGTTTTGTACATTAGGCAAGCCCTCAAGGAAGCAACCTGCAACATTTGCAGTCACAAAGATACCAGGGCCCATCACTTGACTAAAAGCAGAAAGTCTCTTTTCATCAAGCTGCCCAAACGCCTGTTTTCACACACGAGAATTAATCTAAGAATGGTCACCACTGGGTCATGCCCATCTCTTGCTTCAGCCAGAGTAAATGCCCAGGGAAGAATACAGGAACAGAACAAACACACACACAAAACCCATCCTGACAATCTCTCCAGCTCAGAGCATGGCCTCTTTAGTAGCAATGCGTCTGCCCAGCAAAGACAAAACAGAAGTTGTTTTACCAGCTGCTCCTGTACCCTGGCTGGCTCCCTGCTTCTGTTATGCCAAAAGGACATTATGCCAAAAGGACACAGCTCTGATTGTCATATTGCTGCAGGAAAAGCCCTATGTTTGACCCTGGTTTGTAGTTTGCAAGAGACATCCCAAGAGAGGTTTAAAGCCCTTTGCAATTACTGAATCTTGCAGGACAGCTACCAGTGTGCCAGCAGGAACCCAGCTAAAGCTTTGCTCCTGGGTCTACCGAAAATATTCTAACAGTAGCCACGTGCTGGCACCCCTCATTGCTCACTAGAGCCAGCCAGGCCTCGACAGCCATGTCTCACAGCACAGAGCAAGCACCTTTCTCAGGATGACAGACGCTGCTCAGCACTCTCAAAGCAACTCTCTAAGTTACTAGGTCTCACCAATCCTTGGTGAGGTAAGGGCAAAATACATTCCTAAGGACCAGCTGAAGCTGGTCCAACTCAAAACTATGTCCACTGATCCATCAACACATAAAAATAGCTTAGGGAACTGCAGACAATGTAAGGAGATGAATCAGTGACTGATAAATCATGGAGAGGAAATTCAGTCCCTAAGAAGAAATTAGAGATGGTCCCAAACAGTCAAAGGCATGTCACTGAAATACAGAAGGTAAAAAAAAAAAGGTCTGAGACTAAATGGGATTGGACATGCCCAGGGCTTACAAAACCTTTCTTTTCCATATTCCTGTAATTTTCTCCCAAAATGCAATCACAGTATTAGAGGATAGGACACAAACTGTTTGTAGCCTACTTTCCTAAGACAAAGAGGCTTTTCTGACCACAGCTTGCTGTGTATGCATATCCACCCTTTCTGACTAATAACACTAGAATTTTCTTTCCCAGTTCCATTTCACCAGCACACCACAAAGGCCTCCATGATGGTAACTAACTTCATACAGAAGGAGATGCCTCTAGTAGTCCCCTTGCATTGAAAAGATGTGACTGGAGCTCCTCTTATGAAAAACAGCTATTAAGAAGGAAAAATAACACCTGGACCCAAGTCATATGCCCAACAGAAATCTAAAGGTGAAACAATTGTGAATTGCAGCAGGAAAGGCAATGGCAGCCCACTATCTCCAGGGGATGTAGCTACCTCAAGGAAAACATCAGAAGGGATTAAAAGGGTTTGTATTTTCCAAAAGAAAGACTAAAGCCAAAAAAGAAAACCAGCATTATCTAGATTGAATTTATTTCCTCCTGAAATCAAAAGCAACTGACTAAAAATTTCCATTTTACAGTCAAGCTGGGAGAACTCAAACATATGCCTAGTCAACAGATGTTGGAGTTCAGTACCATACTGGCACCAGATTCATGGAATACCTGGGTAAGCACAGAGCAGGTGTTACTAGCTGCACCTGTGCTGCTGCCAAGCACCTTCCTGGTCAGCTTGCAGCCTCTTGGTATGAGAGCAAGCTCCCAGGGCAACACTGCAGGTCAAGGACTGCATCCAAATAGCACAGAAAAATGCACAACCTTCAACAACCCTTCTATTTTTCTGCCAGTGACCTTACCTGAAGGCCTTGACCACTGGAAGCAAATGGCAAGTCTTCTGTCTCACTGGGCTTTCAATCAGGATTCACACTGTTACAAGAGCAGCTGTTGGAATGTATCACTTTTTTTTCTTTTTTTT